TGGGGCTACGAAAAAAAAAAAAAAAAAAGTGAATTAAAAAAAAAATCGAGGAGGAAAATACCAGGCTGGAAGGAAGCGAGCGCCCCGGGCCCAGCGGGGAGCGGCCCCGTGTCCTTGTTTCATAACGCTTCCGCAGGCAGCGGGGAGCTGGGTCAGCTGGGACTGATGCTCTGCCCTTCACCACCCCTGGGCGGGATGGCTGACTTTGCCCCTCCAGTAGGGACTGGGTGGATGGCGTCCTTGTCCCTGGAGCTAGCTGTGTTTTAGGGGCTGAGGAGAAGAGGAGGGTGGTGGAGGTGATGGAGGGAAGTGTGGGAGCTCCCGTGGCCTTGTGGCACCTGCGCAGCTTCGTCTGCCAGTGCAGCAGGGACAGCAGGGCACGCGGCCACCGCAGTGGCTCCTGGCAACAAAGACCTGGGGCTGGTGACCTTGCAGAGACAGGATCTCTGCTTGGGGCTCAGGGCACCCGGGTTCACCCTGTGGGGCATGAAACCCCGGTGTTCCCGCAGGGTGGGTTTGTTCTGGCAGGGCATGCTCCAGCAGTTCATTTTCCCTCCTGAGGTCCTGCTTTTCCATCTCCAGCAATATCCATCTCCAACATCAGGGCCCGTTTTCCAAATCCCCAAGCCCTTTGCCTTTCGCCCTTTGCCCAAGCACTAGTTGGACCCCCTGATGTCCCCTGGCCACCCCATCTCTTCCCTCCCTCCCAAGCTGGCCAAACCCCCATGTCCCCAGGGCTGTGCTGCCCAGAGCGGTGGGGCTCTGCACATCCATCATGCTTCGGCACTTTGTAGGTGGCGTTGGCTTCCCACCTCCCAGGGGCTCCTTTGCAGGCGCCTGTGATCTCAGGGCTGCCTGGGGTGATGACTGACTCACCACCGAGCTCTCCCCGCACCACGCTGGCCCCTTCACTCCCCTGCTTGCTAATCCCAGGCCACCTGTGCTGCAGCAGCTGTGTCCCAGCACACAGCTCCCCTGGCCGGGCTGAGCTGGGGAGGGGACCAGAGTAGGGACAAGGTGTGTTTGATGATGCAGAGAGGGGATGCAGGGCAGGGCCATTCCCCCCAAGCACATCTCGCATCCCCCAGTGAGGGACCAATCTCTGAGCATCCTGGGGCTACAAAGACTGCAGCTTGCTCTCCCCTTGTCCCCCATTTTGGGAACATAGCACTGTGAAACGGCACACCAGTAATGCCAGCACAACTGGAGTGAGACTCCCAGCACAGCCTGGCCACTGAGCCTGGCAAGCCACAGTGCCTGGTGCTGTTTGGTTCTGCAGAGACCCCGTCTGAGCTTGGGACCCTGGGACATTCAGGGGAAAACATAACAAGATAACCCTTGATCTTGGTGGGTCTGCAGGTGGCATGGTCAGGGGTGCAAGCGCTGTGCTGTAGGGGTGCGGTGAGGCAGGGTGCTCTGGGCTGCAGGCAGTGTGGTCTAGGTGCAGGCGGCATGCTCTGGGTGCAGGCAGCTCCAGGGCACAGGCTCCCTGGTCACAGGAGCTCATTCCCTCCTGGGGCCCGCCGGCTCTCAACGCAATACCAACCTTCAAGATCTGCTCTGGTGGCTTCCCTTGCCAAGTGTCTGAGAGCCCCAGGCAAAATGCCAGCGTGCCTGTGGTTATGAAGACAGTGTCTCCATGCTTCCCTAACCGGGAACCAGCTGCCGGGCAGCCATCCTAACAACAGCACCGCTGGGCACAGAGAGTGTGCAGGACACCTCCTCTCTCCACGGCCACTGCTGAGCCTCCAGAGCCAGTTGCCAGCAAGGACTTGGCTCTCTGGAGTCTGGGCATCCCAAACCTCTCTTATTCCATGGAGCCTGAGTGTAGCCTCCCTCCTTCCCCAAGAAATAAATGCCCCATATACCTCGCTAGGGCCTGGGAAGAGGGGTGATGTCTGGCTTTGCGTAGTTGGAGCCATGGAGGATTTCTGGGGCTTGGATTAGCAATCCTTTGGCTTTGGGCACTCAATGTAACTGGCTTGTCTCCTTCCATGTCCCTCCGTTTGTCTGCTTCACTTCATTCCTGATCCACAGGTGGGAACTGTCCCAGTCCCACCAGAGAGTCATGTTTCCTTACATGGAGGGACTATCTGATCCTGTTGAGCTGCTTCAACCTTGCACCTTCTGGTGGACAGCCCCCCTGTCCCGTGAGGGACACCTCCACCCTGCGGGGCACTGCACACGGGGCTGGGCTGAAATGGGAAGGTTCAAGGTGCTTCACTCAAAAGAGAGGAATGACCATCAGGGTAGAAGAGCCCAGGCAGATGATGGAGGTGGTTTTCAGCAGAGGGGACCAGATTTTCCCAACGCTCTTCTATCATCTCCCCGCAGAGGCAAATCACTAAGGAAGTTCCAAAACTAAAAAAGAAATGGCCATTTCTTTCCTGTGCATGTTGTGAAAAGGGTAGTGAAGACTTCTAAAGACAG